CATTATGTAAAGGGACTAGCTTGGCCTTCTTAATGGCCCATTAACAAAGTGGGGATGGGCAGGAAGCTACAGGCAGCTATTCTGTCGTTTAAAACATGTTTCTTTCTTTTCACATCCAGAGAAATATTCTGCCTTTTCAATATTTCCTAGGATATTTCATTTTTCTGGGAGAGGGCTGGGTGATAACTTCCTACACTTCCTTCCTTATTGATCCGTTGGTTGTGACAGCAAATGTATTTACTGCATCTAGTTTTAACTTTCCACAAGGGCAGAACACTCCTAATTAGGTAGGGATAGGGCGTGCACCAGTGTACCTAACATCCCTGTCCAACTGTCCCCATTTATTTGTACCCATTTCCTGTGTTTTTCAGGTTTATTCTTATTCCTGTTATCTTGTATGAGAGTGATAAACTAAAATAAATAAACAAACAAATAAATAATCTATATCTATTAAAGTTGTTTAAGCTTTGGCCAGTCATTATCAAAAGTGCTTAATTATATGTCACCAAGTCATTTTCAACTTCTATGGAGCACAATGCAATGCTGTTTGGGGGGAGGGGAGTATCTGTGACTGTGCATTCCCTCAGAAACTGCATGCTGATGTGGAGTAAGACAGCCCAATATTATTCCCTTTTTCCTGCCTAGAAGGGTGCCAAGTCTGAATTGATTGTTAGCAGAGATGTTGAATAGTAGATGTCGAATAGAATGCCTAAAGTTGCTGTAGCTGCAGCCACCTCAAAATTCACTTAGATCCAATGATTCCAGGGACCCTACTGAAGCTCACACGATGGGAGATCACAACCAATGCATCAGAACTTGGGTGTTCTCTCAAAATCCTGTCTATTTACAGAACACAAAATATAAAAATCAAAGTAAAACACATTAAGGTTTGCTATGTTTTGTGAGTTCAATCAGCAGTTATATGCAGGGTTAACTGAGCATATCAGAAAGATAAATGTCTTAATGATTGTGGTTACCCATGGTTAATTGAACTATTGTAATTTATTGTATTAGCTCAATTGTATGGATTCCTACTGTGTACAGTTTTAAAGCATAAACTAACTCTGTTGCATGTGGTTGCAGATTGCACATGAATGACAAGCTTGGCATTTTATTCTGGCTGTTGGATCATTCATGTTCTTCCTGCAGTGTATCAACCTTGGGAATTTCAAGATGCATGGATCTCAACTCCCAGAATTCCTCAACCACCATGCATTTTGGGAGATTCTGGGAGTTGAAGTCCACGCATTTTAAGTTCCCAAGGTAGAGAAACATTACTGTAGGCAAATTATTGACTACATGCAAAACCAAATACTGGCTTTAGATCAGGGTGGCAGATGTGTAGCCCTGCAATGGCGAATTAAGGTTCACTGGTGCCCTAAGCACTGACAAATTTTGGTGCTCCCCTCCTTTGTACGTACTGTACAAATCTTCATTGTTTTTTTCTTTCTCAACTTTGTGGTGCGCTCTTCAGCCTGGTGCCCTAGGCACATGCTTAGTCTGCTTAATGGTTAATAACATGGTTGTCGGAAAGCATGATCCTTCACTTTGGCCAGGCCACTAAGGCTGTTAAGAGAGTTTAGCCTAGAGTTGGGTACACACAACCCATCTTCCTTGCACACATCTGTTATTGCAACTTTAATGCAGCTCTCATTGTTATTTCGGGTAAAGGAAGGCACACAAAGGCTCCAGTAACAATAGCTCTTTATTGCAAGTTAGGTAAACATCCGGCTGAGGAAGGGTCCGGCAGCATCCCCTTTTAAAGGGATCTGTCCAGAGATGGGTTCCTACCAGTTTGCACCTATTCGGTAGAAACGGTTCATCAAATCTACCAAACTGGTTAGAAGAGGTTCCACCAGTGGACCCGGAAAGCAGGCCACACCTACAGAAGAGGTTCCAAAAGTTTTTGAAACCCACCACTGGTTCTTGGATATGATTCTTCTACACTATCAAGCTCATATTTATA